ACAAAGTAAAACACATTTTTGGTGTTTATTTGTTGATAATCACACAGCAAAAACAAAACAAAACAAAAAAAAACCACACAGGTACTATTTTCTCATTTCATGGTGAAAATGAATAAGACCCAAGGGGGTTCCATACCTAGAAAAAGAAAATACAGATATGAATAAGAGTGTTACACCTACATGTACATCTAAATTAGTCACATGAAAATACGGCCACCAGGGTAGTAGACTTCATTCTCCTCCAATTGTCCTTGTCTTTACTTTTGTAAAGAATGATGTATCAAAACAGAAATCCCTATTAAGGTAAATGGATGTATCTTCAGCAAACATTTATTAATGGATGCTAAGGAGAAGAGATAAGACACAGAATGTCTTAAAAAGAGATTCTGTCCAGCAAGCCCTTCACCTCATGTGTGCAGCACAATAAAGCCAACCCCATTGGCAGAGGTGTGGGCGAACCAGCCATGAACTTGTGGGTGTGGGAAAGATGTCCCTATTACCCATCTGTTATGTGGCATCATGGGTGGGGAAGAGATGCCTTCCCCCACCCCACCCTGACACCCATCACTGCCTGAGGCAGGTGGGAGAGCTGGCCACACCCCTCACCAGCTGCAGCACTCAGGAGAGTGGCCCCTACAACATACCTGGGCAACACAGTAGGGCTGGACCTGCTGGGATGAGTGTGGGAGAACCGACCCAGGGCATGAAAGCAGAACCATCCCTGCCCCTTGCTCACTGCTGCAAGGGGTGAACCAGCCAGAGCAGTGCAGGAGAGCGCACCCTGGTGGTGAGGGCAAGGGAGAGCTGGCAGGCTGATCCACCCTGCCACTACCCAGACCCAGAGACAGATTTATGAGTTGGCCCACCCCAACATCCACCCCATCTGTGATCTGCTGGAGCATGTGAAAGGACCTGACCCATGGACCCAAAGCTGCAGGATCATCACAACACAGGGCAACAGCAGGATATCCAAGAGGGGTTCCAGTGAGGGCCCAGCATTGATTCTGTAGCAGAAACCAGAGGCCTCGAACCAGACCAGTGACTCTGCAATGAACGCCTGCGAGTAAAGATGTATGGATAAAAGTATTGACTGCATAACTCACTGTGCCACACTACAGCTTCCATGACAAGACTGATTTTTCCCTCTCCCTCTTTATTTTTTCTCTAAAATTTTATTTTATTTTATTGGGGTAGGGTTGCAAGGGCAGAGGGCAGATATAAAGAAATGAATGGGATGTATGATGTAAAAGATACAAAGAATAAATAAAAAGAAAGAGAAAAGAGAGAATGTCCCCCCCAAAAAAACCAGTTAGCCTAAAAAAAGAAAACCACTTATGAATTTGTGTGTGATTTCTTTTTCTTTTTTTTTTTGAGAATCTCATACAAGGTATTTTGCTCGTATTCGTCTCCTCCCCTAACTCCTGCCATATCTACCCCCTTTCCTGATCATCCAACATTGTGACATCCCCCCTTCCTTTTTTTTTAACCCACCAAGTCCAAATTGTGCTACCCATATACCCTTGGCTATGTGGCCTTCCACTGGAATATGGCCAACCTATCAGGGACAACACTCTTCAAGACAATTGACTCTCCCTCTCCCAGCAGCCACCAGTTACCAATAGCTCCTCAGCCAGGGGTGGGACCTTGCGCTCACCTCTCTTCTCCAAGCTCAGATCAGATCTGGCTTGAGCTTGCATGAGTCTTAGGCATGCCATCACAGCCACAGCTGTGCAACTGTCCTGCTGTGTCATGTAAACACTGTTTCCTTCTAATCATTTACCACCTCTGGCTCCTACAGCCTTTCTGCTCCTCTCTTCCACAGTGCTCCCTGAGCCTTGGCGTGAGGAGTCTGACATGGATGTCCCAACCTGAGGCAGCTGGGTGGCATCTCCACTGGGTTTTTAACATGAAAGATGAACCATGAAAGCAAGAGCAGGTGAAACAATGCTGAGTGACCGGAGCTTGCGTTTGTGAGATGAGTGTAAGACAGGTAGCTATCAACCAAGGAAAGAAGATCCTGTTCTCCAAGGTAGACAGTTTGGATTGTGTCAGTGAAGAATAAAGGAGATTTTCAAAAAAAAAAAATGATTCTGCAGCAGGAGTCAGTGGATATGCTAAAACAAGAGGATACCGTAAATGAAGCAACCGTCTTTGCCATCATAACCTTTCATGATGTCTATTTGTTTCCCTCCGCTCCCAATGGTCTCTTCTGAGGATCATAAGCTGCAGATGTGTATCCTGGCCCCACTCCATGTACTCAGAGTACAGCAGCTATTCATTAATATACAAAACTGTCCATCTAATCAAGACCAAAATGAAGATCTGTGCCCCTCAGATGCAGTAACCAGCAGCCAAAACTCTCCAATCAGAACTTAGTTCAAGGCAAAGGGGATATTCCCTTTTTTGTTTTTGTTTCTTGAGACACGGTCTCTCTGTATTGCTTTGAAGCCTGTCCTGGAACTAGCTCTTTAGACCAGGCTGGCCTCGAACTCACAGAGATCTGCCTGTCTCTGACTCCCGAGTGCTGGAACTAAAGGTGTGTACTGCCAATTTCATCTGGAATTAATTTAAAATAATAACACATGACATTATAACACTTTTTGGGAGTTTTTTTTTGAGACAGGATCTTGATATATATATAATGTAGACCATCCTCAAACTCCTAATCCTCCTGCCTCAGCCTCCCAAGTGCTGGGATTCCAGCCATGAGTCACCACACCCTGCTCCATAGTATTACATTTAGGTTATGAAGGCCTGTGACAGATGACCAGTAAACAGCAAAGTCTCTCTTCAGAGCTACTTTGCAGGTTATTTATCAGTTTACTCCTAGTGTGTGATTTTATTTTAGGTATGTATCTTTTCAAATGTGTTTTGAACCCTCAGCTTCACATACTTCACAGAATTGGTACACCATGAGCCCCTCTCAGAATATATAACACAAGGGTTTCAATAACATGTGAATAAAGAATCCTAATAATGTGTGAATAAAGAATCCTAGGATATTGTCTTATGTCTTTTCACATTCTCCTAACCTTATTATTTTGTTTCCACTAGCAGCTACCTAGGAATCAACGTTCAAAAGTAAAGAAATAAGTGTGTTTGGGATTATGGAAATTTTCACTTGACCAGAATAATGGATTTTCTTTCCTTATAAAGAGTCTTAAAGGACTAGGGAGATGAATGGTTCAGTAAAGAGTTAGCTGCACAAACCTGAGCCTTTACGTTTCAAGCACCAAAGCTAGGCACAACAGTACCTCTGTAATCCCAGTGTTCAGGGGGTGGGGAGACAAGAAGATCCTTAAGGCTCCCTGGCCATCCAGCCTACCCCCAGAATGAGTGAGCTCCAGGTTCAGTGAGAGAACTTGTCTCCCAAGTTAAGGTGTCACATTCCCTTAATCATAGCATTCAGGAGACAGGTTCAGGCGGATCACTATGAGTTGGAGGCCAACCTGGTCTATATAGCATGGTGAGTTCCAGGTCAGCTAGAGCTATGTAGTGAGACCCTGTCTCAAAAAAAATAATAGTAAGGTGAAGGCACCCAAAAGTAACCTCTGGCTTCCACATAGACACATGCACACATGCATTCACATGCAAACACACACACAGGGGTGGGCTCTTACTGACTCTGGAAGCAATTTATTTTCTCTGCATACTTTTGAAAGAGAAATAAAAACCACAATTAAAGTAAAGACAACATTAAGTTGAGCTTTATAATAAAGGTGAAGTCCTAGAACAAATGCACAGAAGTTATGTCTCAAATCTACACCCTTTTGGTTCCATGCCAGAAGTTTTTATTCAATGGAACTTGTATTAGAAACAGACGTTACATCATCATATACTCCCTAAGTTCCAATAGTTTTAATTTTCAGGAAATCAAGATTTTTTTTCTAAATAAACAAGAGGAAACAGACCCCATATAAGAGAAGGTAAGATTTTTTGTGGTTTCCTTGACTCCCCTAAGTATAATCGATGAGATTTCCCGGATCTTCACTGCAATTTATATCTCTACTGTCCTTATAAATATAGATAAGGACTAGAGTTATAGTTTGGGATATACATAATACATATATATGTATGTATGTATATATATTATGAACAATACCTTATGTCTGAGCCCCAACACCAAAATAAGTAAATAATAACAGTCTTTTTTAAAATAGCATAAGAAATATAAAATGAAAATATAAGAAGGCAAAGCTTATAGTATGACCAAAACTAAGCAGGTTTGGGCATGATTACTGCTTGGCTAGGTAGAGGTCAGAAGTTTTAGATAACCAAATATCACAATTCAGATCTTGACAACCACTTTCTATTTTGGCTCGCAGGACACAACTTATTCTAATCGTTCTATAAAATAAATTCACATGTTTTACACTCAGTATACAACTTTTTCTTTACTATGTAAACACATGCTTCAAGAACACACACACACACACACACACACACACACACACACACACACACACAAAGCACTTCAAGATTGCTAACTACCATGACCATTATCCTGGTGGTTGGCAGCGCAAACAAATGTATGCAATTTAATGAGCTGTGGTGCCCACTTTTAAAGTAGACAAGAACAATCAATTTTCAAAATCTAAACCTATGGAAACATTACTTTCTGTATCTCTAATGAGCTCTACCTATAATTACTGATGGCTCAAATTTTCTCTTGGGTTCCTTATTCTTTCAAAAGGATGTGTTTCCTATGGCTATTTGCTAAAATAAGGATTTTTATCCAACCAGCATGTGGAAATGGCATTAGTCCTGATTTAGTAACCTGAACTTATCCTCCTTTTACGAGGCATAAAACTTCCTCAGTAAATAAGCAACACTAATGAGATGTTTGTAGGAAAACTGGCGCCCACGATGCTAGAAGAAACATCGGTGCGGCCTGTAAACACCCATTTGAAGGGTGATATAAAGGTTTCAGGAGGGAAGGAGATGTTTGGAGACAAGACCTCGACAATACAGCATCCGATCCATTTATTCCTTTTCAGAAGATGGCTTCTGACGGCTCCTCTGGGTGTTGCTCCTCTGAGCCCTGTGCAGAGGCGTCGGGCTGTGCAGCTGCCTCACCCTGTCTCACCAACACAACTTGTCTCCCCAGCACCTGTGCCACATCCAGATGTCAGACCCCGAGCTTCCTCTGCAGGGCTCACGTCCCAGCCGGTCGCCTCTCACCTTGCTACTTCGCTAGTAACAGTCCATGCCTGGTGGGGAGCTGTGCATGGTGTGAGGAAGGGGCATTCAATAGCAATGAGAAGGAGACGATGCAGTTCCTGAATGACAGACTGGCCAGCTACCTGGAAAGGGTGAGAAGCCTGGAGGAGAACAATGCCGAGCTGGAATGCAGGATCCGAGAGCAATGCGAGCCGGATGCCCCACTGGTGTGCCCAGATTATCAGCGTTTCTTCGACACCATTGAAGAACTCCAGCAAAAGGTTGTGTGTTTCATTCCCTAATGTTCTCTGTTTCCCGTTTCTGATTTCTCTTGTAGTTATACTGGGCTGGGTTGCTTTGCTGATGTAACATAAAGGAAAGAGGGATTCCAAGAGCCAGAAAAAAGGGGCACCACTGGCAAATCTGTCTCAGTACCAGCACTAACTATTGACTATAGAAATGTCATCTCTGTGTTATCTCTCATTTACAAAGAGGGGGAAACTGAAATATGACAACTAAAATCTGTTCTGCATGTATCATTGCATATTTATATTCTTTATCAAACAGATATCAAATGCCATCTATTTTAGTTCACTAAACTAATCATTTTCTTTTTGCGTATGCATGCACACATGAGGAAGTGGATGTATGTGCATGTGGGGAGGAAATGCACGCATGTTAATGAGAAGACACCAGAGGCCAATGGCAAGTGTCTTCTACTTGCCATTGTTTTGAGACAGTCTCTCAAGAGAGCTGGAGCTCACTGATTTAACTGGATGGATGGATGGATGGATGGATGGATGGATGGATGGATGGATGGATGGATGGCCAGAGAGTCCCAGGGATACTACTGTCTCTGCCTCCCCTGTACAGGGGGTAACAGGGACATACTACTATACTTAGCTTCCTATACATTAGTTCTGTGGGATTGAACCCAGGTCCTCCTACTTACATTGCAAATGCTCTACTGTCGAAGCCATCGTTTTTTTTTTTTTTTTTTTTTTTTCATTGATGAATTTCTATGACCACAGACAGAGATGCAACTTTAATAAATATTAGCAATAGAGAAAACTAACAAAGCTCAACTGTCAATGATGACTGCCAAATGTCTTGCCTTGTGTCACTTACAAAGGAAACCTTGAGCTACAGAGATGTCTCGGCAGTGGATTGCCCGTTGTACCACTCATGAGCAACCTGAGTTCAGTTCCCAATACCCATACATGGCAGTTCACAACCACCTATAATTTCATCTCCCGAGAACCTGATACCTGCTTCTAACATCCTAAGGCAATGCACAAATCTATACACAGACAATTACACACACACACACACACACACACACACACACAATTGGGGAAAAAAAGATAAAAATCGTTCTTTTTTAGAAAGAGAATCTCTTTTTATATCTGTATTTTGTTTCTAAATTGGCACTGCATGTTTCTTTTTTCTTTTTTTCCCTTCGTAGTAACACAGGTTGAAAGTGATGTTATACTAACATGCAAAGACTTCCATAAGCTAACAAATGTCATGACTGTTAAAACAGATATGTGGTGTTTTTCCAAAGAGCTGTTGATTGAGTGTATGGTCACTTACCTCTTAGATACTGTGCACAAAGGCAGAGAACTCTAGACTTGCCGTACAGGTGGACAACTGCAAACTGGCTGCCGATGACTTCAGGTCTAAGTAAGTCAGATTGTTTTTATTTTTTTAAATCACATTGTATTTTATGCATACAATTTGTGTGTTAAGTTTTAAATTGAATTTGAAAATAATAGTGACTTCCAGTGAAAGGGAAGATATTCTCTGCATGAGAATGTTTGAAACTTGAATTGACCGTCATTTGAGACCCAAGGGAAATTGTGGCATGTGGCTCCCTGGAGGCCACATGTCACTCACCCTTGTAGCCCAGCACTTTGGTCAGTGTTTAACTAAACAAGTCCCCCCCCTTCTCTTTCTCTTGCTGGGAAAGGTATGAGAGTGAACTGTCTCTTCGGCAACTGGTGGAGAATGACATCAGTGGCCTTCGTGGGATCCTGGGTGAACTGACCCTGTGCAAGTCAGATCTGGAAGCCCATGTGGAGTCCCTGAAAGGTGATCTCCTTTGCCTTAAGAAAAGCCATGAAGAGGTAAGCGAAGTGGCCGCTATGCCAAGGACTATACAGAGAGTTCTACCGAGATTTCATGACTATAAATTGAACCAGGACAGGCACTGACTACGCTGGAACGAAACCAGAGCCATGCCTAAGTGAGGCTTGAGCATCCTAGTGTTCTCAAGGTAGATGTGCGTATTGTTATGTAACATCATCCTCAGCCGTGCCAGGGTGAGACCGCTCTCTCGCCTGCCATTGCTTGGATGGAGAATTAACTCCACTAATGGCTATTTCTGCAGCTTTTACTGTACAAGAAAATAGAGCTGATAAGCAGGACTTCCAGAAAAGAGATAAATAGACACGCAACATTAGGAGTAATATTTTTAGATATTGTATATTTATAATCATGTTTCTATTATAAACTTAAGAATGAAATGCAGGGTTATGAATTGGAGTAAAACAAAAAATGCATTCTTTGCATATTTTGATGGGAATAATAGCTGGCAATTATGACATTTCACACACACACACACACAATGGGGGATGTCCTTCTGTACATATGTTTCTCCTATTGGTTGATGAATAAGACACTGATTGGCCAGGCAGGAAGTATAGGAGGGGCTACAAGAGGAAGAAGGAGACAGGAAAGATGCCAGGGGAGAGACGCCATGTAGACCACAAAGGAGTAACAGATCTAAGCATTCTCTGGTAAACCAAGACCACGTCGAAATACATGGATTAATAGAAATGGGTCAATAATTAAGACAGAGATAGCCAATAAGAAGCCCTAGCCATTGGTCAACAGTTTAATAATTAATAAAAGTCTTTGAATATTTATTTGGGGCTAAAGTGGCTGTGGGACCAGGCGGGAAAGAAACTCAAGCTACACACACACACTCCACCAAGATATTCTTTACTCCACTCCCAGGAGGTCAACTTGCTTCGTGGGCAGCTTGGAGATCGGCTCAGTGTGGAGCTGGACACTGCCCCCACTGTGGACCTCAACAAGGTCCTGGATGAGATGCGATGTCAATATGAGAGGGTGCTGGCCAACAACCGTAGGGATGCGGAGGAGTGGTTCACCGCACAGGTCAGTGCCCACCGGAAAGGGGGGCTTCCGGGAGGGAGCCAGTGTTCCCCGGAAAGGGTGGGCTTCCATAAGAAGCCTTGCCTGGGCGCTCTAACATGGCCTGTGTTTCAGACAGAAGAGCTAAACCAGCAGCAGATGTCCAGTGCCGAGCAGCTGCAGGGCTGCCAGACCGAGATGCTGGAGCTGAAGCGTACAGCCAACACTCTGGAAATTGAGCTCCAGGCACAGCAAACCCTGGTGCGTAGGACAAACAGGGGCATCCCTTGTCAGCAACGTGTCTGGAGGGGCTACACTCTTTGACAGATGTCCAGGGAGATGTTCACAGTTCACACAGCAAGTCTGAGTATCCAACTAGCCAGGGTGGCATTTCCCTGTGTTTCTCCACATAAATGAACAGAATAAATGGAAGCAGAGTAACAGATCAACAGCTTTCTTGATTTCACCAGGCTGTCTCCCTGACCCTCCTAAGCCTAAGTGTGTCCCCAATACCACCCACATAAAACAGAAAGGGTCTCAGAAAACAGGGGACAGGGACAGCTGAGCACTTAAACTTAACAACAGATTTGAATTCTCTCTTATCAATGGGCAGTTTCCCATCCCAGTTTCACCATCGTCTCTAAAACACACCAAAAATAAATCATTTTTCAAGTGTTCATACTACAGCTGATATCTGCACATTATCACACCCCTCCCCACCCAAGCAACAAGAGCACCATGCAGTGAAAGCCACATATACCAAGCCCCATCAGGCACCACAGTATGTATTTGGGTCCAAGAAGTATACCCACACGAACCGCACCTGAGCATTCATCTAAGGGAGGCACAGTATAATCTATGGCAGACGCCTTTGTACATGGGGAAAAGCTAGGGTCAAAGGAAGTGAGTTCCAGAATGTTCTCAGTTCTCAGTGAAACAGAATCCAGGTGTTTGAACCCCCAAATCTTCTGTCATTGTGACACACTGTGATGCTCTTCCCTGCTGGGTGCTCATACTCAGAGTGACTTCCCAAATGTTGTCAAACCTCTTAAACTACACAAGTAAGTCCTAGGGGACAGTAGTCATAAAGATAGAGACGACACATTTAAAGGCCTTGAATTTTTTTCAGGCACAGTACCAAGTCCTTCCCATTTGTCTACTCATTTTATTCTCCCAGCCTCCCCATGACATAGGTATTTTGCATTCTCCGTTGGCTATAGATTAAAAACCGAAGCTCAGGGAAGCTAAGTAACTTTCCTACCATCTTGGAGCTGGAAAGGGGTACAGCAAAAGTCTGTCATAGTGTCCTTCTGAGAAGGTCTTCCTCTTGCAGACAGAATCTCTGGAATGTACTGTGGCGGAAACTGAGGCCCAGTACAGCACGCAGCTGGCCCAGATGCAGTGCCTCATTGACAGCGTGGAGCACCAACTGGCTGAGATCCGCTGTGACCTGGAGCGTCAGAACCAGGAGTACCAGGTGCTGCTGGACATCCGGGCCCGGCTGGAGTGTGAGATCAACACGTACAGGGGCCTGCTGGAGAGCGAGGACAGCAGGCAAGTTCCATAACTGCACAATCCCCAGAGTCCCAAAGAAGAATCCTGTTTCCTGGAGGCATGACCAAGGTCAACCCCCACTAATAAACAGGTGTGGGAGGGAGGGGGCTTTCTTTAAAAAAAAAAAAATGTGAAGAAAAGGCCTGGCTAGGTGGCTCAGGGGGTGTTTTGGTTACTTCTCTGTTTCTGTGACCAAAGGCAACTTAAGGAAGAGAGTTTATTTTGACTAACAGTGGCCGATGGGTGAGTCTGTCACAGCGGGGGCAGAATGGCAGCAAGTATCAGGCCTGGCAGCAGGAGCAGGAAGTTGAGATAGAGATCATATCTTCAACTGCAAACACACAGAAGGGAGAGTGAGCTGAGAATAGGGTTAAGGCTATCAGCTCTCAAAGCCCACGCCCCAGTGACAAACTTCCTCCAGCAAGGCTGCACCGCCTCCCCCAGAAAGCCACGCCAGTCAGGAAGCAAATGTTCAAATACCTGAACCTATAGGGGACATTTCTCATTCAAACTAACACAGTGAGTAAAGGTGGTTACTGCCGAGCCTGACAACCTGTAGTCGATCCCTGGACCTCCATCCTGGAAGAAGAGAACTAACTGTCTCTATAGGCTGTCCTCTGACCTATGTACATGCACGTGCGCGCGCACACACACACACACATACACACACACACAGACACACACACACAGACAGACAAACAAGTGTAAAAAGAAAAATCTAGGGCTAAGGCTATGATAGTGGAAATGCCCTAAACTATCCTCGAGTTCTGAAACAGTGACTTCCATGGGTCGCATTTCCACAAGATGAGATAGGGATGGTAAATGATAGAAAAGGAGTTATACAGTAATCCCTGCTACAGTAAGTGCAAAACTGTACTGGAGGTGGAGGTGATGGCTGTTCTGAGTCCAAAGACGCCACAGACTAGAGGCAAATGCCAAGCCTCTCCTGAGCACAGTTTGTAAGGCGAATTTTGTTCCTGAGATGTTTACCAAATGACATGCTACCAAAATCTTCTTGCTAAACTTAGTTTGAATTGGTTTTCCCCAGACTCCCCTGCAATCCATGTTCTACAGCACCCACGTCAAACAGCACGTGTGAGCCGTGTTCAGCCTATGTGATTTGCACAGTTGAAAACTGTTGTGCTTGAGTATTAACTCTCCAGCAAGATGGATGGAGATTGGTGTCGGTGCTCAAGAAGGAAGACCAACCGCAACCAGGCCACACTCATTCTGGAAACAGATCCACTGGGAGTCAGAACCTCAACTGGGCACACCCAGTACAGAAACAAGGATCCACCCAGCTCACAGAGCCTGAAAATCTGCACTAAGCGTCCTGAGTCTGTTGATTTTGTCTTCTGCCTTAAGCAGGCTTGTGGTATTCTATAAACCCATAAAGCATTCTTGTTAATCTCCAAATAAAACTTGTCTCATTTCCTTAGAATGGTAAATATAGTTTAGTGGCTAATTGCCTTTGGTCATAATGGTCTTTTAACAGAAGAGAGTTAGTCTAAACCCATGACTACAGTTTGAATTTGCATAAATACAGACTGAAAGTATCTCAGTCCTCAATTAGATTAGCTAATCCATGAGAAATGTTGCAACTCTAAAAAGATATTTGTTTGTATGTATCTTTTTTTTGGAAATAAAATGCCATTTATTTTACTTTTAATTCTAAGTGTACAGGATTCTCTTATTTTAACTTTTGCATATTAAAAGAAAAAAATACAGTTCCATCCCATGAATGATAAATATTTAGTCGGGACTTCCAGTTTTCTTCTTATAATTGATTTTTCCACGTAGTGTCAATTCTGCTTAACAATGCATACAGCTATGAAACTTTACCCTTATGTTATCTAAACATTTTAATCCTCATTTAAAAGAAAACATTTTTCTGTGTTTGTCATTTTAGTGGTTGGGTTGCTTAATACATCATAAGGTACACCTGGGTTATAAAAATAATTATTCTCATACATTTAAAACGCAAAGTATGGCCAGATGTAGTCACATCTGTAAGCTTAGCAATCAGAAGAAAGGAAGCAGCAAGATTGCTTCAGTTCAAGACCAGGTTTGCATAGTATGACCCTAAAGCTGGTGTTCACAGTGAGCTTCAAGACTCCAGGGCAAGGAGTAGTACATAGTGGGCTTCCAGGCTATAGAAAAAGATTGTGCTTCAAGAAAGAGAGGGAGGGAGAGAAGAAAACTTCCAGAAAGATTAAATATATGTTCATTTCTTTCTTCCTCCTAAGAGAAATCCCCAGAATTCTTTTAATGTAATATTTTATTAATTCTTGGAGAATTTCATACATGAATTTGATCATATGCATCTTCCCCATAACTCCACACAGACCCTGCCCATCTTAGTGTCCTCCGTGTTTATTTTTTTAACCCACTTAGTCCAGTGGGTGCTTCCATCTGGGGGGCCATCTACTGGAGCATAGTCTACCCGATTCTCCCTCCCAAAGAAGCTACCAATTGTCTGCAACTCCTCCTCGGCTAGGGGCAGGGACGTGTGAGTCCCTCCTCACCCCATGGTGAAATGCTGACTGGCATCCAGAGCTTATTCAAAGTCATTCAAAGTCATGAGTACAGCAGTCCTTTCATTTTCAGAAGACAGTTTGCTCCTCGACCTCTGGCTCTTACAATCTTTCTACCCCCTCTTTCATGATAGTCCCTGAGTCTTGGGGACAAGAGCAAGTTGTAGATGTCTCGCTTGTGGCTGGGCATTCCACTGACATGTATTCTCTACACTTTGACTAGTTGTGAGTTTCTGTGTTACCCACTATACACTGCACAAAGAAATGTCTCTGATGAGGTCTGATAGCATCACCCCTCTATGAGTATAGAGATGTGAATTTAGAGGGGAGGTTGATAACACATCCATTCAGCACAATAATAACAGTAGATATGCAAGCCGACCAGCAAGGGTAAAGCTTTTGGTCAGTACCAACATGATTTCACAGTGTCTTAGTGTCTTTGGCAGTAAGATCTTATCATCAAGTTCTGTGAAACACAGCTATTCTACAGGAAACAATATAATATGCTGAAAAGTGAAAGAAGCCAAATTATCTGAAGATTAGAGTCTCAAAGAATGACTTTGAGGTGACCCCTGATTTTCCTGTCTGCCCCTTATACCCCAAAGCAGGAGCTGGCAGCGAGGAGGATCAATATCCCAGTAACATCAACAAGTATAAACAAGAAAACAATGTCTCCAGGAGACCTTGAGCTCTCTGGATAAAGAACCTGAAAGGGGACCACCTAAGAAGATATAAAAACCTTTAGATATTAACCATTCAGCCCAAACAAATGTCACAGGGATAAAAGATCATTTTGTCTGAGGGATAAAAGACCATTTTGTCTGTCACCATGCCTACCCAGAAAGGCCAAGTGAAAAATTCAGACTTCCATCTTTTCCAGGCCATAAAGACTATTGGACGCCCCACCGGGGTCAAGTTGGAGAAGGCTGAGGAAAGGACCCAGGGCTTTCATTCTCACTGGGTGATCCTGAGGCCTCCCACTAACAAAGTGAATACTGTGTGGTGAGCTTGGAAGTAATACCTCATTCTAGCCGTAAGAAATCCTCTTCAAGGGTGGCATCCAAGGAAGCCTGGAGATAAGAAATAACAAGAGCACACAGGAAGCAGTAGTAAGACACAATCACATGTAGCCAGGTAATACCCCGAGAAGGAGCCTGAAATCTCAGCTTTCTAGCACTGAGGAAGAGAGTTCCCTTTGGGTGTTAAAATAAGAAGAGAAGCTGGGCCTCCGCTCCTCTTTGGCAGCATGAGGTAGTATCTACTGTCCCTTTCAAAATAATGTCAGGGAGACTTGTTTGACCAAGATCAATATAATAGCCAGAGTCTGAGAATATAATATCCCAACATTCAGGTGTCTATCAAAATTCACTCATCATTTCAGAAGCCAGGAAAACGTCAACTCCAATGAGGGAGCACAAACAATAGGTTCCTAGGTGCTCTGGAGATGCTAGAATAACCTGAAGACGGATTCAAAGAAGTCATCATAGAAATGCTTCCATGACCATCTTCTGATTAGCTTCTTCAACAAACGAAAAACACAGGAATGGCTCAGCAAAGAAGAGGAAGAGCCAATTGAAATTTCAGAACTGAAAAATACCATCAATCCAAAATGTGACTCTCAGTGGATAGGTTCATTAACAGAACTTGGCATGCTAAGAAGGAAAAGAGCAGAAAATCTGATCACAGCCTGAGCAACAGACAGAAAGTAAGCCAGAAACCCTGGAGCACTATGGGGAGCTTTGGGACCATATCATTAGGCCTACATTTCATATCATCCATCTCCTGGAGGGGAAGGAGAGTGGATGGAAGAGGGCATTTGAAGAAGTAAAGGCTGAAACTTTTCTACATCTTACAAAGATCAAACTAATGGATTCAAGAAGATTTGTCAACATCCATTTAGAAGCAAGACTCCATCCAAAATATATGATGACAAATTCTGAAAACCAAAGAACAAGCATTAAAATAAAAATGAGAGAGGTGAGAGGGAAATAAAACCACCACTGGAAGAAAAACTAAACAATGGTAGATTTGACACTATAGACCATTGTATTGGTTTTTGTCATGGAGATGAATACCTGAGAGGAACAGTTTAAAGAAGGAGAGATTTATTTCTGATCATGGTTTCAGTGTTTTCAGTCAATGGTCAGCTGGGCCCATCACTTTGGGCCAGTGAGTGTGCAGCAGAGGATGGTCAACTCATAGTGACCAGGAAGTAGGAAGACAGATTAAATAGGAACGTGCACATCACCTCCAGTAACTTCCTGCTACCCAACCCTACCTACCTCTTCAAACTTCCCCCATGAGACCCACATGGGGGCCAACCCTTCAAAACATGAGACTCTAGGGGACACTGCATATCTAAACCACCACAACCATGGAGGCCAATAGAAAATGGCAAAATTTCTTTCAAATGCTAAAAGAAAAGAAATTGTCAGCATGTGTGTATTTCTTATGTTGGCATGCTAATATAATCACTCAGAAGATGACTGCTTTGGAGGCTGGGGATGAAGCACAGTAGATAGAGTACTTGCCTCACATGCCCACAGCTCTGGCTTTGATGACAGCACTGGGCTTGGTGGCACTCTGGAGGTGGACAAAAGGATGATCAGGAGGTCACATCTACTGTAGCTACATAGCAAGTATGAAGCAGCCTTCGATATATCCAGTTTTGTGTGTGTGTGTGTTGTGTGTGTGTGTCTGTGTGTATGTATGCATTGTTAGTTTATATTAAGTATACAGATTAATGGGTCTCATTGTGTCATTTTCACACATACATACAATGAATTTTGATCACACTCAACACCCTTACTGGCCCTTATACCCCTCCCCCAGATCCCTTTCCTTTTCCCAGATAGCTCTCTGCCTACTTTCATGTCTATTTATTCCTAGATTCCACATACATATGAAAGAAACATAATTCTCCACCCCACCTTAAGTCTATCTTATTTTGCTACCATGATGATCTCTAACTCTACCCATTTTCCTACAAATGACAGCATTTAGAAGATTACACAGAACTAAAATGACCCAAAGTCTTGATGCTAATTTCCCGATTCTGCCTCTGTAGCCTAATTAAATATGGTGTAAGCACTGGGAAGCAGGGCTTTTGGGTCCTTGGTATGTCTTCCTTATAACTTCCTGTGCATATGTAATTATTTCAAAATTTCAAAATCTAAAACTATTAGAAAAACTCAATAGACAGCTAGAGGATAGTTCCCCATTTTTTTTCTAGTTCTCTTTTGAACACTCCTAAAAATTATACTAATAGCAGTTAATCTAGCTTTAAAGTAAAATCAAATCTCAGACCTAAAACTTTATATCAAATGTGTTTATACAACACAGCTCTTCTAACAATAAAAAGTTGTGGAAATACTTAGCATAAAATGCTTTCTAGAAAAATTAACATTCCCAGCTCTAGTATAGCTCTGACGATAAAATTGGCAAGAAACACAATAGCACAATGCTAGAAAATTGCAAACTTCAGCCACTTGGAGTGTTGTGGCAGATAAACGTCTTCACAAGCCATTTGGCTACTGCCCACCTATTCTCTGTCTACATCACTTCTGTTTCAGTGGTAAGATTATAATATATATATATATATATATATTATTAATTGCTTACAGATAATTACAGTATAATTTGTATAATATATTTTAGTTAATATATATACATATATACATATACATATATATATACATATATATATATATATTTCTTTTTAACATTGTCTCAACCATGTAAACACTTCTTGGTGAACTGTACCTGAGTTTCCCATCATAAAAATAGTCACAGCTACATCCCACCATGCAGGACAACTTGGATGGCCAGCAAATCTGTTTGTCTTTGGGGACTTAGAAGCTGACTGTAGCCTGGGTGCATGGAAAATCAAAGTAGGAAAATCGTTGTCATTGGTG